TAGCAGTTCTGGAGACAAATTCTAACATACATCCATCCATCAAAACCTTCGCATTTATATTATTTGTTACTAAAGAATTGCATGATTTTTCTTACTTGCTTTTTTTTAACAAGAGAACAAGGAAATCTAATTCATAATAAAGAAATAAGTTATTTGGACTTCATTTATTTTATATAAGCTGTAAAAGATTATTTATGACAGCCATCCCGTGGCATTATATGGGAAAAGTCAACTTAAAAATCTAGATATCATAAAAATATATATTTTATTAGCATAAATGTCTATGGATTTAGGTTATTTATTGATTTATATTAAATTAAGATGTTTTTATGACTTTAATCTGATTAATTATTCAATCAGCAACAAGCAACACAATAAATTGGATAAACAACTTGTATAGGCTCTTTTTTAATCCACTAGTATTTTACAATGTTTGCAGCGCGGTGAATTACCATACCATTATAATGTTTGCTTTGACATTTATCAGTAAAATAGCTGTCGCCCGCGACCTCGTCCGCGGGAAATTAAAATAAAACTTTATTAGTAGCATATGTAATCTATTCTCAATATTATATATAGATACTAGCGGACCAGACAGACGTTGTCCTGTCTACACGTCTTTAATTTGAATAAATTAATATGAAGTTAATATTTGATGAAAATTGTGAATCTAAACCATTCCCAGATCCCCTTGAACACACACAAAAAATTTCATCAAAATCGGTCCAGTCGTTTGAGAGAAGTTCAGTGACATACACACTCACAGAAGAATTATATATATAAAGATAATTTCTGTTCAATGTAATTTCTTATAGTTGTATTAAGGTATGTTTTTGATTTATATTAATTTTATATATGGTTACTATGTTTTGTATTAGCCCGCAAGCCCTTATGTTATATTTTACATTTATACTCATTGTAAGCGAAACTTTATGTTTTTTTGAGTAAATAAAGATCTTTATACCCTATGTACGCTCTCAGATTGTTTTTTACGTTTATACCAAATTTAAATATTTCATTCAGCCGTTCTGGAGATATCTTCTAACAAACATCCATCTGTCCATCCATCCAAAAAACTTATATTATTAGTAAGAACATGGTGCATTTTCCATTGCTCCGAGTTAACCTTGTTCTTGAGTATATACTTATGATCCATGTAAATGAACTATTGATATGAACTTAAACTAACTAATAAATATAAAACGAATACTTAAATGCATTTTCTACATTTTGACGTATAGTCTGCAAAAAATACTTTTTGCAATTACCAAATCGCTTTTCACAAAATTACAATTATATTAAAAAAAATAAAAGAAAACCGAATGATAAAAGATGTTCAAAATATTTATTTATTTTTGCATCTGTCTTAACTATTAATACAAACTTCGTGTGTACAAACTTTATAATAGTAAGAGTATTCGAAGTATTATTATTTAAACAATCACAAACATAGTTCACATTTTCCCCTCGTAATACTGATAAAACATCAATCTGATAATCACTCATTAAGTTTAGACTCCTTATTGTTTAGTCATCAAATATTCTATTGGCCAGAATATTAAACATGGCGCAC